CCCCTCAGACCGTGAGCCCCTCACCGACGGGACTCCCCCCTCAGACCATGAGCTCCTCATACACAGGCACAGCTTTCTCATCTTCTCATTCTAGCAGGTGCTTAACACACATTTTGCTTACTGAAGAGGAAAAGTCATCATCCAATCTCCCTTACACAACTCCCTCATTCCATTTCCCTCTCCCTGTTGCTTCCTTTCTCAACCCTCACCTCCTCAGGTTCCTCCCAAGCGGGTCCCTCTTTGCGGCATTCCTTCATGCTCTGTCACTTTTCCATCCCAGTCTGTTCTCTCCGATTCCTTGATAAGATCCAGGCAAAGCCTTTCCAACGGGATCCCTTCTGCTTGGTCTGACCCCGCACCCTCCCAGACCATCTCCCTCTGGAGGCTAAACCCCCCGAACTCATACCTCTCAACACCCGCTCAAAACCAGAACACCAGCATCACCTGCACCCTAGTCTTCCACTGCCTTATCTAAGATATGACCAGGCTGGGTTCACAAAAGCATCATCAGTGAAAACTGAACCATTTTAAACCACCCGAGGGAACCCGGTGGAACAGGTTACCACAATGCCCTAACCGGCGGCGAGGGCACCGAGCGGGGGTGCCATCAGCACGGTTCTGGGTGGCATGATGTGAGCCACAACCACACACTGAGCCCCATCACCCACGCTCACTGCCACCTCTGCCTTTCCCTGTAAGGTTCCAGAATAAGGATTAAGAAAGACTCTATGTCAGGCATCACAGCTTTGTAAAAATGAAGCTTTTTTTTCTAATCTCGCCATATATGAGATATGAGGTAAAACAGGGGGATAAATGTGAAAGTAAAGGACTTGAAGGTCAAGAATGAGCCAGAACAGGAAGAGCAAAAATAGGAGCCTGAGTCACAGAATACACCCCTACCTTTCTCTACCGTCACCATCACCACCAGCAGCACCATCGTCATATCACTGTCAGCACCACCACAACCAGCATTATCACCAACGTCACCATCGCTGCGGCATCTTCTTCCTCATCACCATCAACAACTTCATCATCATCTTCATCACTGTCGTCCTCTACGTCACCACCACCATCACCACCATCATCGTTACAATCAGCATTATCACCACCACCATCACCAATGTCACCACCGTCATCATCACCAGCATCATCACCACCTTCTTCCTCATTACCAATGTCACCATCGCCACCATCATCATCATCACCATCATCATCATCATCACCAACACCATCAACATCACACCGTCATCACCAACGTCACCATCATATCACCATCACCACCATAATCAGCATCATCACCACCATCACCATCATTGTTAACAATCATCATTACCACCAATGCCATCACCAATGTTACCATCATCATCACCACCATCACCACCACCACCATCTTCATTACCACCATCATCACCATCATCATCATGACCATCACCACCACCACCATCATCTTCATCACCATCACCACCATCACTAACACTCCTGCACACTCTCTTGAGCCAGTCAACGTTCTGTGTGTTCCACGTGTACTTAATCAGTTATTCACAGTAACTCTAAAGGAAAATTCAAGCAAAGAGAGGGAGAACGGGAACCCCAGGAGCCTGGCTCCACCGTCCACGCTCAGCTCCAACACACCTACTGCTTCTCCAGCAATGAGCCTAGGAAACGGCCCTTCCACCACAAACTCACGAAGCTGGCGTGCATGACCGCTTAGATGATGTCTGTAACGGGCGTGCCTCATTGTCTCCAGGCGGCACGTACAGGGGCTCAACACGCAGATGCATGTGACATGTATAAGTCACAGGAGACAAAACTACTCATGGTCCCTTTTCATGGTCTCTACGGTTTACTGACAAAAGGAACAGACCATAGAGATTAACTACATTTTGTCAGGGGCAGGCAACAGAACCATGGAAGGGCCACAGTTTCCTCTGAGCAGCCAATCACAGTCACCCACAGCGACCCTGCCGGGCCCCGTCTACACCCGCGGTGACCCTGCCGGGCTCCTGACTCCAGTTCCGGGAGCAGCATGCCCACATCCTGCCCCCACACGTCTGCAGGTGTGTCTGTGGGGCAGGGGAGACACCCCAAGTCTCACATTTTGATCCCAGTGAGACTGGTCCTTCCACAGGCCTTGTTCGCCTGACAATGTCACCAGGGTGCCCATCGTACAGTCGTGTTTGGAGCCATCAGAGTGATCCCTTAAGACAAGAGCACTGAGTCGTGCAATGCAAGACCTCTCCAGCCCGCGCAGCAGCTCGTGGGGGCCAGGTGGCAGGGAGCACCCCCAGGCTGTCACACAGGCTGCCTCCAGGGAGAAGGGAGGGGGCCCACACGTCCAGAAAAGGACACAGAGACACTGGGGGCTCAGGTAGGGGAGGACCCCGCCGGCAGGCCCCCTGCGGCCGCAGCAGGAAAGGAATGACCGAGATGGTGGCATGCTCATGGCCCTGGGAGCACCGTCAGCAAAAATGACACAGGTCCCTTAGGTGGAGCAGCCACACCAGCCCACCCACTCTCAGGCCCTTTCCCTGCAAGAGAAACCTTAGAGGCCCGGGTCCCCCCTCACCCCGCTGAAGTCTGACCCTCCTCCCCCACAGCCCCACCCCAAAGCAGCCCACAGGGACTGAGTACAGGGGTCCTCGGGGAAAAAGGGGAGCCAAGAGGCAGTCCCAACACCACAGAAGCCCACTGGCGACACCACAGGGCCACCCTGTGCCTCCTCCAGGGCCCAGTCCCCCAACCTGCCTGTGCTCTGTGACGTGGACCCCCAGCCCCCAGCCAGGATTCTAGGGCTCAAGGGAAACGAGCAGTGTTGTTCTCACAGGCCCACTCTCCGGATTTATTAACACGCAAACCCACGGACTGCCTGGGGCTTGAGCATCAGAGCCCTGACTCCAGGCTGAAGGGCCCGCCAGGAGAGCCCTGACCCTGAGGTGCAGAACATTCCATTGTACACTCACTAAGAGGTCAGAGCACAAGACTGAATAACCCAAGTCACGGACCCCCCCCAGCATGGACGGAAGAGGCAAGTCACAGTCGCTCACTGCTGTCCCCTCGCCCACATCAGCAGCTCTACTCCTTCTGGAAAAGTTTCCTCCTGAGCATGAATCTGAGTAAATACAGTCGGTCCCTGCCCCAAGAAGGGCGGGGGGTAAACACCAGCTCGGAAGGGGAATTCCACGATTTAACTTTTGGAAACTCCCAACTCCTGAAAGAAGCTTCTCATTTGGGTTTTGGTTTGTTTGTTTGCTATGTTTCGTTTTCATTAGCAAGGGAATGATAAACGTGCACTCACCTCGGCATGAAATCCCTTGGCTGTCAATAATCTGCTTGCAAACCCCACAGACCTTGGGTTTCTTAAAGGCTTTGTTCTTAAAACCGTGCAGACTCGTTAATTCTTCTGGCTGAAAAAGCGAAGGGAGAAACTGTCAGCTCCACGATTCATAGTTTGTTTGCCTTTTCTTTTCTCTTTCAGGAAATAAGGCGTCTAACAGAGTTTGGGAAGAGCTAAAAAGGAACTTTACCCGTTCAACAGAGAAGAACAAGAAGCCATCCAGCCAACACTGGGATTCCCCAGGGGAGCCTCAGATACCCCGTCAGCATTCTCGATGCCAGAGCCCCAGAGGGAAGCTCACACCCCCTTGCCCCCCTGGCTTGCAAATCCCCTTATAAATGGGTGAAGAGCGTCAGGAGCGCGGCACTAATCAACACTGATAATGTGATCCTGTATTAGCTTCCACCGACATCCACGACGAAGTAATCCATAGGCAATCCCAGAATCTTAATGCTTCCTCTGGAAGCAATGCTCAACAAACAGCACAACCGTGTTCAGAGGAAGCTGGGTGACGGATTCTCCTGGCCCCTGGGCCTTTCCAAGTGAATGTGCACTTCTGCGGACCGAGAAGCAGTCATGGAAGACCAGTATGTTAAGATATGCGGTTCCTCCCTAAACCCGGCACAGCACTGAATCCACGACACACACGGTACTAGGAATACCTGAACCACTCATCTACCCGGTTTACAGGGTCAAGGTTCACGGCTGTATCCAATCATCTCACAAAAATTCAATTTGCCTTAGAAACCAAACACCATCGTTCTACCCCATTGGTGATATTCAGCAGTGTATCCTCCCAGCGCCTGGATCCACCGAGGCCCGTACTTACCACCAGAGGCAGCCACAACTCCCTGGAAGATTAAACGTTAGCCAGAATGGGAAACAAATGGTACAACTATAGTTTCTTACACAGGTTTTTAGAGCTACACCAATCCTGTGACTCAGCAATTCCACTCCTGGAGACACCCAACCGAAGTAAATGCATATGCCCACAAGAGTCTTGTGCAAGAATGGGCAGAGCCGCCTTATTTAAAAATGTCCCAATCAGGAAATAACCCAAATGTCCACTAAAAGGAGACTGGATAAACAAACTGTGATATATTCCTATGACAGAACACTGTTCAGGTACACACAAGAGCTTGCTACCGTTACACACTACTAATCATGGATGAGCACCTAAGGCGTTATTGTGCTGAGCAAAAGAACTCCGACACAAAAGCACACAGTGATGACTATTTACATGATGTTCATGAACAGGCAAACCAATCTATCTAGTTCCTCAGAGGCAGAAAACCAGTGGGGTGAGCTCCATGACTGCCCCAGATTCCTGCATCAAGGAAGGTCCCAGAATGCAGAGAAGGAAGGGGACCAGTGTACCACCTGGGGCTGAGGAGAAGGTGCTAGGCGTCCAGGCAGAACAGGGCAGCAAGAGTTCACTCATCAGAGCACCACAAAACAGGGCTGCATGGAACCCCTAAGATGTGCACAAGGGCCCTCTGAAACATTAGCCGAGCGCTGATGAGCACATGCATGCAGTATATGCGCACATCACAGTACAAACTGCCCAAAATAAAGCACAGAAAGAAGGGACCACCTAAGGAAACACACAGATCAACAGAGCATCAGCGAGCTGTGGGAAAGTTCAAGCAGCCTAACACATGTGTAATTGAGGTCTCTGTAAAGAAGGTAGGGGAATCATGAAAATATAATGCCTCGGGGCACCTGGGTGGCTCAGTCGTTGGGCGTCTGCCTTCGGCTCGGGTCATGGTCCCGGGGTCCTGGGATCAAGCCCCACATCGGGCTCCCTGCTCCGTGGGAGGCCTGCTTCTCCCTCTCCCACTCCCCCTGCTTGTGTTCCCTCTCTTGCTGTGTCTCTCTGTCAAATAAATGAAATCTTTAAAAAAAAAAAAAAAAAGAAAGAAAGAAAGAAAATATAATGCCTAAAACTTTTCCAAAATCTGAGCGAAACTATAAACTCATAGACTGAAGAAACTCCGTAAATCCCAGGTACAAGAAGTGTGGCAGAAATGACACCAAGGCATATGATAATCACACTGCTCAAACCCAGTGATACACAGAAAATCGTAAAGGCCCCCAGAGGAGAGGAAAAGACACATTGCGACAGGAGACCAACCATTAGCACAACAGCAGATTTCTCATGGAAAATCAATCTAGTGAGAAAACAGTGGGGAGGTACAGAGTGCCAAGAGAAATTCTGTCACCCTGAAATTTTGGACCCAGCAAACATAGCATTCAAAAATTAAAGCGAATTTAAAAATTCTTATGATATACAAAAGCTGAAATATTTCATCACCAGCTGACACGTACTACAAGACAAGTTAAACATAGTCTGAGCACAAGGAAAATGATCACAACTGGAAAGACAGCTTTACACAGAAGGAACAGTGCCAGAAATGCTAAGTATGTGGATAAATACATAAGATGTTCTCTTATTATTAAAAGCTCACTACAAAATACTTAACTGTTGAAGCAAAAACCAATAACAATGTAAAGTGGGGTTCAACAGACATAAAAGTAAAATTTATGATAAAACAGCACAAAGCCAAGGAAAAGAGAAATGTAAGCATTCTACTGCAATGCTCTCATACACTATCATGCGAAGCAGGCTGTGATAAACTAGAGAGATGTACTATAAACCCCAAAGCAACTACTAAAATAATGAGTGATAGGTAATAATCCAACAAAACAGATAAAATGAAATTATTTTTTAAAAAGTTCAACTAATCTAGGAGTACCTGCCTGGCTCAGTCAGTAGAGCACAGGACTCTTGATCTCAGGGCCATGAGTTCAAGCTCCACATTGGGTGTAGAGATTACCTAAAAATAAAGTCTTTAAAACATTAAAAATAAAAGTAAAATAAAAGTTCAATTACTCTATACATGGCAAAAAAAGAGAAAGTAGAGCAAAGACTAGGTGAGAGAAACAAAACAAATAGCAAGATGATAGATTTAGACCTCACCATATTAGTAATCACATTATATAAATAGTTTAAATGCTTTAATTAAAAGGCAACAGTTGTCAGATTATATTCCTTTAAAAAAGAAAAAAGACAGAAAAAATACACAAGGATAATGTTAAAGGAAAGCTGGAGTGGCTATATTAATATCAGGCAAAGTCGATTCCAGATTAAAGAATGTTACCAATGATATGGAGAGGGATTTCACAATGATAAGAGGGTACATGCATCAGGAGAACATACAATCATGAACATGTATGCACCTATTAACAATACTTTCAAAATACATAAAGCAAGAAATGATAGGATTGCAAAGACATAAATAGGCAAAAGTGTAAATATGGTCCGAAACTTATTTATCCCTCTTTTGGACTGAACTATGTCCCCCTGAAATTCACATGTTGAAGACCTAACTCCCAATATGACTGTTTGTAGAGATGGGGCTCTTAAAGAGGTGATTAAGGTCAAATAAGGTCATAAGGGTGGGTTCCTAATCCAGTAGGACTGGTGCCCTTACAAGAAGGAGAAGAGACATTTGGGGGGGCTTGCACACTAAGGAAAGTCCATTTGAGGAGGACTCAGCGAGAAGGTAGCCATCTACAAACCAAGGAAAAAGGCCTCAGGAAAAATGAAGCCTGTCAACACCCTGATCTTGGACTTCCAGCCTCCAGAACTGTAAGAAAATACATTTCCGTTGTTTAAGCCCCCCAGTCTGGCATTTTGTTACAGCAGCCCCAGAAAGCTAATATGCCCCTTCCCAATGACTGATAATTATTTGTAATCAATAATAACAATTGATAATTATTGCAGAAAATAATCAAAGATACATTAGATTTGAACAACATTCTCAAAAGACTTGACCTAATTGACACTGATAGAATATCTGACCAACAGCAACAGAATGCACATCCTTTTCAAGTGCATATGGAATGTTTACTGAAGCAGACCACAGCCTGGGACATAAAACAAGTCCAAATAAATTTAAAAGTATCCAAACCATACTAAATATGTTCTCTGACCACAATGGGATTATATTAGAAACCATAAAAAAAAAGATCCTTATAAAATCCCCCAAGTATTTAGAAACTAAACAACACACTTCTAAACAATACATCATAGCAAACAGGATTTATCCCAGGGAGGCAAAGTTGGTTTAACATTCAAATACCAGTCAGTAAACTAAAAAAGAAACCTACACAATCTTTCAATTCATCGGGGCGGGGGGGAAAACTCTGACAAAATCCAACATCGATTTCCTGATAAACACTCTCAAATCAAAATAGAGAGAGACTTCCTCAACTTGGTAAAATCCACCGCAAACCCCAATTTAAGGACAACAGACAGAATGCTTTCCCTTTAAGCTCCGGAACAAGGCAAGGATGTCTGCAACCAACATTTCTATTTAACATTGTCTTAGAGGTTCTAATCAGTGCAATCGGGCAAGAAAAATAAATAATAGGTATCCAGTTTGAAAAGGAAGAAGTATAAAAAAGGTTTTTTTTCATGAAATGTACAAAAAAGCTCTAGAACTAACAAGCAAGTTCAGCAAAGTTGAAGGACAGGAGCTCACTGACTGTACAAAATGTATTTCTACATCCTAGCAATAAACATTCAGAAACTGAAATTCAAAGAACATTACCATTCACAGCATCATCAAAAATATTAAATCCTTAGAAATCAATCTAACAAAAGATGTGAAAGGCCTATAAAGTAAAAAATGTAAACCATCTCAGAAAGAAAGTGAGGAAGACCTACAGAGGCAGAGGGATATACCATGTTCATGGATGATAAGACTCGCTTTAGTCAAGATGCAGTTTCTTCCATAAAATCGACAGATTCCACGCCATCTGAATGGAAATCCCAGCAGGCTTTTTTTGTAATTGGGCAGATGGGTTTTTAAAATTCAGGTTTACATTCAAAGCACAAAACAACTTTGAAGTTTGCACATATTCGAGTGTACAATCTGATTAAGTATTCAGACCCCAACTTCTCCCTCCCTGACCTACAGCAGACGTAACTGATCATTCACAGGTACCATCCCCCGTTGGCCTTACAAGGGACTGGAACTGGCAGAGGGGTGATTCCAATGTGAA